TCTTCTTCTTCTTTTCATTCTTCTCATTCTTCTTTTCATTCTTCTCATTCTTCTTTTCATTCTTCTTCTTCTTCTTTTCATTCTTCTTTTCATTCTTTTCATTCTTTTTTCTTCTTCATGAAAAGAAGAATGAGAAGAAGAATGAAAAGAAGAATGAAAAGAAGAAGAAGAATGAGAAGAAGAATGAGAAGAAAATGAATAGAAGAATGAAAAGAAGAATGAGAAGAATGAAAAGAAGAATGAAAAGAAGAAACTGAAAATGAGAAAGAAGAGAGAAGAAGAATCTTGAAAAGAAGGTTGAGAAGAAGAATGAGAAAATGAAAAATGAAGAAGAAGAATGAGGATGAGAAGATGAAAAGAAGAATGAAAGAAAGAAGAAGAATGAAAAGAAGAAGAAGAATGAAAAGAAGAATGAAAAAGAAGAAGAAGAATCTTTTCATTCTTCTCATTCTTCTTTTCTTCTTCTTCTTCTGTCTTCTTTCTCATTCTTCTTCTTCTTTTCATTCTTCTTTTCATTCTATTCTTCTTCTTCTTTTCAAATAGATACAATGTTTCAACCGCTGTATGGAGTGAATGTCAGAGAACTGTCAGAAAATAGCCTATTTCTGACAGTTCTCTGACATTCACTCCATACAGCGGTTGAAAATTGTATCTATTTGTTTCCATAAATGGAAACAAATAGATACAATGTTTCAACCGCTGTATGGAGTGAATGTCAGAGAACTGTCAGAAATAGCGGAGCTGTGCAGATACACTTAGCGGAGCTCTGCAGATACACTTTTTGCCGGCTTGGAATTCTTCTTATTTTCATCCTACTTCTTCTTCTTCATCCTCATCCTCAGAAGAAGAAGAAGAGGATGAGGATGAAGAAGAAGAAGCAGAAGAAGTAGGATGAAAATAAGAAGAAATTCCAAGCCGGCAAAAAGTGTATCTGCAGAGCTCCGCTAAGTGTATCTGCAGAGCTCCGCTAAGAAAATAGCGGAGCTCTGCAGATACACTTTTTGCCGGCTTGGAATTCTCCTTCTTCTCATCCTTCTTCTTCTTCTCATCCTTCTTCTTCTTCTCATCCTTCTCCTTCTTCTCATCCTTCTTCTTCTTCTCATCCTTCTTCTTCTTCTCATCCTTCTTCTTTCTTCTCATCCTTCTTCTTCTTCTCATCCTTCTTCTTCTTCTCATCCCTTCTCCTTCTTCTCATCCTTCTTCTTCTTCTCATCCTTCTTCTTCTCATCCTTCTCCTTCTTTTCTCATCCTTCTTCTCATCCTTCTCCCTTCTTCTCATCCTTCTTCTCATCCTTCTCCTTCTTCTCATCATTTTACTTCTTCTCATCCTTCTCCTTCTCACTTCTTCTCATCCTTCTCCTTCTTCTCATCCTTCTCCTTCTCCTTCTTCTCAATCCTTCTCCTTCTCCTTCTTCTCATCCTTCTCCTTCTCCTTCTTCTCATCCTTCTGAATTTCTTCCTCAAATTCGGCGAATCAGCCGAATCGAACTTTTTGAATAATTCGCTCATCTCTAATTATGATCTTCCATCCTTTCTCTCTCTCTTTCTCTGTATTCTGCAACCATCTGCTGTTTTGTGTGTTTTTTTTCTTCTATGTTATTCTATGTTGGTGTCATTCTAGACTCCAATCTGTCTTTCCAGCCCCAGATCCAATCGCTGACAAATTCATGCAGACTCCACCTCCGCAACATCTCCAAAATACACACGTTCCTAACTCCAGAAATTACAAAGCAACTCATTCACTCCCTTATCATATCACGACTTGACTACTGTAACTCCCTCCTTGCCGGCCTACCCCAACACAGGCTATCCCCGCTTCAGTCTATCCTGAATTCTGCGGCCAGACTCATCCACCTTACCAACCACTCCGTATCCGCCACCCCCCTCTGCCAATCCCTCCACTGGCTTCCGATTGCCCAATGCATAAAATTCAAAATACTAACATTGACGTACAAAGCTGTTCATAACACTGCCCCAAACTACATCACCGACCTGATATCCATCTACCACCCAAAACGCACTCTCCACTCCTCACAAGAACTCCTACTCTCCAGTTCCCTGGTCTCCTCCTCCCATGCCCGTCTCCAGGACTTCACCAGGGCTTCCCCCATCCTCTGGAACTCCCTACCCCAATCCATCAGACTGTCACCTACCCTCCTCACCTTTAGGTGCACCCTGAAAACCCATCTCTTCAGAGAAGCGTACCCCACCCTCACCTAACTGCTGATCTCCTCCGCTCCCCCCACCACTCCATCCCCCACAGCTATTTCCTCCTGTACCACTCTCCTCTCTCTCCTATATTGTAAGCTCCAAGGAGCAGGGCCCTCAAACCCCTCGTGTATTGTATTGTATTGTTACTATACTGTCTCATGTATTGTCTCCCATTGTAATGTACAGTGCTGAGCAAACTATTGGCGCTATATAAATACTGTATAATAATAATAATGTTATAAAGTTATATTGTCCGTATAACAGCACAGTAGATTATCTTTACATTGCACAGATCATCAGACCCCTAGTTTCCACAATCTGTCAAGCATAATTTACATATGGCCCAATATTTTGACTGTGCTGACCATATCTCTTCCTGCTGCCTGTAGTGACCTAGGACTTTTTAAGGACCATGTTCCTGCCTGCTGCCTGGACAAATAATTTGCCTGTGCTGACCACATCTCTGCCTGCACTGACCCGGACTTTTTATGAACCATGTTCATTCCTGCTGCCTGGATGATACCTTTGGCTGACCACATCTCTGCCTACTTCCTGGACCAATGCACTCCTCTACGGACAGCTGCCCTACTAAAACCACAGGTAATCTTTTGAGAACAAAAGAAGTCTGATTGGCTGCACTCCAAACAATCCACTTTATTGAACCAAGATAAAACCAATACAGACAGTGGAAATACAGTGGGGGACTGGAAGGTAAATGCATTTCATGCTTATGACAGCGCTTATTCATTGGGTATTATTATTATACAGTATTTATATAGCACTGAAAGGTTTGCTCAGCGCTGTACATTATAGTGGGGGACAGAACATGAGACAATAAAGTAACAAAACAATACACGAGGGGTTCGAGGGCCCTGCTCTTTCGAGCTTACAATCTAGGAGGGAGGGCATAGTGGTACAGGAGGAAGTGGCTGTGGGGGATGGAGTGGTGGGAGGAGTGGAGGAGATCGGCTGTTAGGTGAGGGCGGGGTAGGCTTCCCTGAAGAGATGGGTTTTCAGGGTGTGCCTAAAGGTGAGGAGGGTAGGTGACAGTCTGATGGATTGGGGTAGTGAGTTCCAGAGGATGGGGGAAGTCCTGGAGAAGTCCTGCAGTTGGGCGTGGGAGGTGGAGACCAGGGAGCTAGAAAGTAGGAGGTCTTGTGAGGAGCGAAGATTATGGGTAGGGTGGTATTTGGGTATCAGGTCGGTGAGGTAGTTTGGGGCAGCGTTGTGAATGGCTTTGTATGTCTGTGTTGGTAGTTTTAATTTTTGGGCAATCGGGAGCCAGTGAAGAGAATGACAGAGAGGGGTGGCGGATACGGAGCGGTTGGTAAGGTGGATGAGTCTGGCTGCTGAGTTCAGGATAGACTGAAGCAGGGATAGTCTGTGATGAGGTAGGCCGGTGAGAAGGGAGTTGCAGTAGTCCAGATGTGAGATAATAAGGGAGTGAATGAGTTGTTTAGTAGTGTCTGGGGTTAGGAACGAACGTATTTTGGAGATGTTGCGGAGGTGGAGCCTGCATGAGTTTGTCAATGATTGGACATGGGGTTGGAATGGGTAATGAATAAGCGATATCTTTAGCATGGAACGCGTTTACCTGCCAGTTCACCACTATATTTCCACTGTCTGTATTGATTGTATCTTGGTTCAATAAAGTGGATTGTTTGGAGTGCAGCCGATCGGACTTACTTTATTCTCATCTATGCAGCACACAAGCTGGGATAGCACCTACACGAGTTGTTCTTGGAGATTGGGAATCTCTACCTTGAGCAGCCCAACATACACAGGTAATCTTTTGTTTACTCTTTGTTCAGCTAGGCTGTGAAAAAGTCTTACACATGTGGTATTCCCATACTCTGGAAGAGTAGCAAAATTTATTTTGGAGTGTAATTTGGTATTCCATGGTTTTTAGAAACACTTATAAATTGACAACTTTGTGTAAAAAAAATACTTTTTCATTTTCTTTCTACATTTTTCAAACATTTGTGGAACAAAATGACATGTTCATAAAACTTTTATGGCTCATACAGGGGTGTGGAAATTATTTAAAAAACTACTTGTCCAAGGACTAAATCGGGGTCCAAATCTACTTGTCCCTCATGACAATCTACTTGCCGTGATTAAAAAAAATATTCATTTTAGCCAAAACCGTATTTAAATAAGGTCTTATTTGTTATAATACTACTGAATGGTACAGTTTTATCACTAGGGGTTTTCAATGGATGTAGGTCCCTTTAAACCTTTAAATGACTTTGCCAGGATGAAAAATACAAAGGGTTGATGTTTTCTATTAGGCAGAGCTGGTTTTAGGAATGTCTGGGGCTGTTAAAAATGAAAAAGGTTTTATAGTGACCTAAACTTTTAATATCTTTAACGTTGCACTGTTTATATCCTCCTCACCTCCCTGCCTGTCTCCAGCACCGCACCCGGGGATTAGCTAGGAGAGGAGAGACCTTGCAGTGTGATGAGCACCGATTGGGTGCTCATCAGGAATGGGGAGTGTCGGTCTCTCTCTTAATTCCCAGCAGAGGCACATCTGCTGAGCGAGTAAATTACCCTTGCACACAGATGCATTTTTGTCCTCAGTACAAGCACATGCTGAGCAGAGAAATCAAGGTCCGGTGTCCATCAGGGTCAGATAATTTTTTTTTTTTTTGTTCAACCTGCTGGTTGAATCAAAAATATAACTAATGTATGAACTGCCCTACTGAGCCTACCTTAACCACCTCCCGCCCACTATATAGTAATATGACGGATGCAAGGTGGTTCTCTCGTTCTGGGAGGACATCATATGACATCCTCCCATTCTCACCGCGCATGCGAGGCTCAGTGAGCGCGCAGCGCGGCGATCGGTGGTGCGCTGTGTCCTTCAGACACAGCGGATCACCGATCCACGAAAAGAGCTGAAGATGTCGGCTCGGTCATGTGATCAGCTGTGTCCACAGTTGATCACATGTAAACAAGGAAATGCCGGTTATCAGCATTTCTGTCCTGACAGCTCGAGAGGAGAGAAGAGCCGGTAATCGGCTTTCCACGGAGGGGACATGTACACTGATCATCAGGACACTGATGATCAGTGTGCCCTGATGATCAGTGTAGCCACAGCAGTGCCACCTGTCAGTGTCCATCAGTGCCTTTTGTCAATGCTCACCAGTGCCTTGTGCCAGTGCCCATCAGTGCCACATCAATGCCACATATCAGTGCCTACCAGTACACATCAATGCCATATATCACAGTGCCCATCTGAGCTGCCTTTCAGTGTCACCCATCAGTGCCAGTCAGTGCCACCTATCAATGCCAATCAGTGCTACCTATCAGTGCTGCCAGTCAGTGCCGCCTATCAGTGCCAGTCAGTGCCGCCTATCAGTGCCAGTCAGTGCCGCCTATCAGCGTCGCCATATATCAGTGCCATGTGTCAGTGCTGCCTTTCAGTGCTCATCATTGATGCTTGTCAATGCCATCAGTGCCACCTACCAGTGCCTCCTCATCAGTGCCCATCAGTGCCACCTATCAGTGTGTCCATCAGTGCAGCCTATCAGTGCCCATCACTACAGCCTCATTAGCGCACATTAGTGAAGGAGAAAAAATCACTTATTTACAAAATTTTATAACAAAAACTAAGAAAAAGAAAAAACATTTTGATCCCCTGTTTCCCGGGGGCCCCATGAGTTGTCAGTCCGCCCCTGGTCCTGGCATTTTAGGACCTCAAGAAATTAGATAGCAGTCAGTACATCAGGATTGATTAACCTTCAAGATATGCACCATAGCTTGTAGACACTATAACTTTCACACAGACTAAATTATATACACTGATTTGGGTTAATTTTACCAAAGAAATGTAGCTGTATAAATTTTGGCCTTAATTAATGAAGAAAAAGTACTTGTTTGCAAAATTTTCACTTTTTTCTTTCAAAATTTTCGGTATTTTTTCACTAATAATGAAAAATTAAAAACCAAGTGATGATTAAATACCACGAAAGAAAGCTCTATCTGTCTCAAAAAAAATGATAAAAAATTTAGTTTGAGTAGTGTTGTATGACTGAGTAATTGTCATTCAAAGTGTGAGAGCACTGAAAGCTGAAAAATGGCCTGGGCAGAAAGGGAATAAAAGTGCCCGGTATTGAAGTGGTTAAAGGTTTCAATACTGTTTCCAGTTTCCCTTCTTTCCTCTAGACTATACATAATAAGTTCCTGAAGTCTCTCCTGATATGTTTTATCCTGCTGACCTTTTTATCATTTTTGTTGCCTGCCTCTGGACTCTTTCTATCTTATCAATATCTTTTTGTAAGTGAGGTCTCCAGAACTGGACACAACATTTAAATGAGGTCTAACTAAAGATCCATTCAAGGGAATTAGGACCTCTTTCCTCCTCCTAATGATCCCTCTAGTAGTCCAGCATCCTAGAATTCTATTCACTTTTCCCGTTGGCTGGCCACACTGTTTGCTCATTTTGCAATCATCAAAAATAAATGTTCCTAAATCTTTTTCCTCTGTAGAACTGGCTAACACTATACCCACAATAATTTACTTCACCAAGAGATTCTTTTTCCCAAGGTACATTATTTTACATTTGGAAATATTGAACTGCAGTTTCCACTGCTTTGACCAATCTTACAGCTATTCCAAATCATGTTCTATGTTACAGACACTTCCAGGATATCAGCCCTATTTGTCATGATCAAATTACAATATATATATATATATATATATATATATATATATATATATATATATATATATTATATACATTACATGTATGTGTCTGTACATGTGTATGCGTACATGTGTGTGTGTATACGTACGTGTGTGTGTGTGTGTCTGTATGTGTACATGTGTTTGTATGTGTGTGTTTGTTTTTATATGTGTATGTGTACATGTGTGTGTGTACGGGTGTGTATATGTACACGTGTGTGTGTGTGTGTGTGTGTGTACATGTGTTTGTATGTATGCGTTTGTTTTTATGTGTGTGTATATGTATTTTACTTTTAATTTCAACCCCCAATTCCTGTCCTATCAGAACTGCTTTTTAGGACGTAATAGCAGCAAGGACTGCTGCTCCTCTGAAAAGCAATCCATGATCAGATCGCTTTTCAGAGGCATTTGACAGGTGGTAAAGAGGCAATATGTTGCCTCCTCACCACCTTGTTTAATCCTGTAAAAAGCAGCATCGATCACCACACCACAACTGCGTGCAATACACACACAGTTGCGGGGTGGTTGTAGCTCAACCACATTCACCTGGAGGTATACTTGCATCTGCAGCCACAGCATGTGTATACCCCCAGGTGCTGTTTCTGCAGCTAAAGGGGGAGCAGTTGGGGGTAGTAAAATCAGCTCAATTGTGTGGTTTTACCGACCTCCAACCTCACAACTGAACAGGCCCTTGGTTCACATCTGTGTGGCTGTGTGTAGTGCAGCCCATTTATTTCAATGTACTGCTTACCCACAGAAATGCAGGGAAAGTTGTCCCTGACGTTAGTTTTAAAATTGCACCACACCAAAAGCACCCCCCGTTTGCCAATGTATGGGGTACCCCTAAAGAGCAGAACATTTGTCTGCGTGTCAGGAATGAGTGTGATTTTGCGCGCATTCCGCGACACACGGTAACGTGAACCAAGCCTTGGACATGGGTGCCTCATGACTGAAAATACTTTTGAAGGGTGCCCCGACTGGAAAAAGGTTTAGAAACACTGCCTTACCCAACAAACCTTTAGTCACATCACACTTAAAGATAGATTGAATAGAACAACACCCAGTACAGAGCCTTGTGACTGGTCTCTTTTCTGAATGAACCCCATTTACAACCACACTCTTTAGTCAACTGCATATCCACCGAACTGCCTATGGGTTAAGTCCTAGCTTGTACAACTTTTTTATTACCTCATTATGTGGAACTGTATCAAATGCTTTGCTGAAATCGAGATAAGTTATCTCCACAGCACCATCCTGGTCCAAAACATTGGTGACATGGTAAAAAAAATCAGTCAGTCTAGACTGACATGATCCATTATCAATAAAGCCATGCTGCTTTGGGTCACAAAATTGTGAGTTCTTAAGTGATTGATGATCCTTCTTTTCACCGGAGACAGGGCTTCCATCTTCACCTGGCCTTCCTACCCGGTTAATGAGCTTTGGCTGTCTGACTGGTCGAGCAGCGATGATGCCAGTCCCACACATGCCCGCTCCCTGCGCCACAGCACAGTGCTCGGGTATGTTATTCCTTCGGAGCGCATGCACCAGCTATCAAAAAGAGTTAATATCTCCTAAATGGTGCACATTTAGGAGATATTTATTTTACCTACAGGTAAGCTTTATTATAAACTTACCTGTATGTAAAAGTATTAAAGAAGAGTTTACTACCACATTAAAATGTAAGTCATTAAACTTTAAAACTGATGTGAGATACATAAGTTGCAAAATTACTTTATAATAAATTAGAATAATCTTACCTGTTCAATTTTTCTACCATACATGGACCCACTTTTGTCAATTACATAAACAACATTTTTTGGCACTCCACTCAACTTTGGTGGTGCAAAGTAGTGCACAAAATACCCATTGGCAATCTAGAATGAAAAAGTGATAAAGATGAAAAACTTCCATTGAATTTATATCTGGATTTACATGCATTTTTGTTAAAGATAACCTTTCCTGTAACAAATTTGGTAGCTGCTGTTGAACATGTATGCATATAAGGAATTCTGATTTTGCAAATGATTAAGTTGAAATATTTACTTTTAAACATGTGGCAATTGTACTCTGCAATGTTTACTTTCCAGCTTTGCAAATACTATGGAATTTTGCTGAGGACTGACAACATTCCTGAAAATCTCATGCCCTCCCATGTCAGGGGTGCCTTAAAGGGGTCATTAAAAAAGGCACTCTTTCCAAAGAACCAGGCTTTATGCAAACAATCCTGCTTTGGACGCTCATCCTTTCATCATGCCTGTGAGTTTAAAGGAGTTAGGAAACAAATGTTAAAACATGTAATATTCCTAATTTCCCAAATATTTACCTTCCATGAGTCAACACAATGTTGTCAGATCTTCTTACTTGTTTGACATATAATCAGGGTGCAAAGGCCCCCCTATCTCTCTTTGCAACATTTGCAATAAGAGATAAGTAGCATTTTCCGCAGTCTAAAGAATAAGAATATCTTACAAAATTTCCTTATGAGGAATGATGATCTGTTCGTTATTAGTGCTTTCAACAGCCGATTCTGACTGCTTGGACAAAAAAAATCAGAACATGCAAGCTAGAAAATTTTTATAATACATGAACACAACATCTGATTTTTGTTCAATATATACAGTAAACTTATGAAATATGAATAAATGTTAGCAGTTGACAAGAGCTGCTATAAAGTGGTGCATTACAAATCCTAAGATCTTAGGATCCTAAGATCAAAGATACAGATTTAAAATTGGAAGATTTACATATACCTGGATTTTTCTACATGGACTTTCCATAATGAATACAGAAGTAGTCTTTACCTATTTTATCTGGCTTATTTGTCACATATGCAGCTAAGTGGAAAACGCAGAACTTTTTTTTGTTTTTTGTTTTTATTTTTTTATTTTATTTTTATGAATGACATATGTTCACCATGATATAATGTCTACCTTTTTATGATCGATGTGATCTTAATAAATACAAGTTGCATGCACTAATTAAGTGATTATTACTCCGCTTAGGATTTGTAATGCACCACTTTCACTTTATAGCAGGTTTTGCTCTTGTCAACTGCTAACATTTATTCATATGTTTTTTGGTTTAAGAATCCACACCTTATACTTTGGTGAGTCGGGGAATATTTATGAAGGGGTGATTACACCCAGTCTTTAATGGCATCTTTTTCTTTATATATAAATTATGAAATAACCGAACAAAAAAAAAAAGCATGCATGATCGGAAGCAAAGAACGACCCTACACTACATTACTTCCTCATCTACTATGCTAATACATAGCTACACTTGCCTACGAGAATTTTCGTACAAGTTAATACCATTCTCAGTTACAGTACATCATGATATGCATCTTTGGGGAAAATTGTATGATCGTTTATACAATTTTCTCATAGTGTGTACTAGGCTTAATGGTTTTAAGCAAGGATGGATGAAACTAGGAGTTTTCACTTTCCTGGCAAATTGTCAACAATTGGAAGATTTTGTCTAGAATTCACTATTTGGCTTCATGCACACTGGGCATTTGCCCAACTCTTTTGAACACCTTTTTTCCTGGCAGGAGAAAAGCAGAGTTTGCAAACTCATTTAGATACTTCAGGCATTTGGGCGTTCATTCATTTCAGTAGTCAGAATAAATTAATATTCTTGCCAATCAAATCAATAAACGGTCAAGCACTAACACATCTAGGCACGTTTACACACATTTAAGCTCGTTGGGTGTTTTTTCTACTGAAATGCTCCTCTCCTGAATGTGCAAGTAATGGGTTTTTTTTGCCACTAAATGCCTGTAAACGCCTATGTGTGCAAGGCTTACATAGAGAGGTGCTTAAAGGAAGAAAACAAAAGTCAAACGCCCGTAAAAGTGGCCTTTTGACACCCAGTGTGTATGGGGCTTTTAAATAAAATGCGCTGCAGTGCATCAGGAAGGTGAAATTAAGGTG